TGTTTTACTATTTGGTAACAGACTGTTCACAGCAAATCATAACAACATATAGAATCTTCTATTCCAACAAACAGCCTCATCCACATTTAATTTGAACCGATATCCCGCTGAGGATAATTTCAAAGAGATGAGGTACCCAACTTGTTGGTCAAAGTTCTCCTAGCAGAGACATTTGGTTACATCCTGCAAGTAGTTTTGAATCATAGTGATTCCATTTTCAGTTTTATTAAACTAACCTTCATGAATCTCCTTATTTCACCAAAGCCATAGGAACCAGCAAGTTATAAAGAAAATGTCCCTCCATTCAGAAAATCTTTGATCAATATGAGTAATGTTTTTTGTAAGCCACATGTTCAGATCCTGTTCTAAGTAGAAAAATTAAGGATGAGGTTTTAAGGATTGGCTATTCCAAATCTCCGCAACCTTTGAACAGTCCCTAAAAGCAGGAGAAATTCGACAGCTTGAATTACATCAATAATTCCATGTATAACTTTATTTTCGATTGAATTTTCATCATTTTAGACGGAATTTTTCCGTCGAATTTTTTTTCGATTTTTAGTAATGTACTCCAAATTAAGTTTCTTTTCTTTTCTTTTCTTTCTTTTGCAACTTGCAATTATAAATTTCAAGCGCGTCACAAATGCCTTGATTGATAATGTTTAAGTAATCTTTACTATATTTTTATTAATAATTTTAAAAACTACAACATTACTTTTATTTGGCTTAGAGCATACTTTTGAAAATTTGTGAATTTTTTTTACTTTTTCCTTCACAAAATATAAAACATGAAAAAATGAAAACAATATAATATTTTTTATAATGTATTAACTAAAAATTAGAACAAAAAACATCAAATATTATATGAATCAAATTTTTCACTAGTATCCTAAACCCAACCCACATACTACTTTAGCCAATGTGGCGAAAAGTCGACATCAAGGTAGAAATTAATTAAAAATATCAAAGAGAATAGTTATATTAATAAACTCAAGGTTTATAAGTTCTTATAGATTATACTATGTAATATGAGTAATACATATTACATAAACATGTACTATTAATAATACATAGTGCCACACCAAAAAAATAAAATAATGCATAGTGTAGTTTGTAAACTTTGAATTTGTAAATATAATCTATCCCAAAAACAAAACCAAAACATAAATAATACTCCTATGAATGTGGAAATATAGTAGCTTAGGGGTTGGTTATTAGTATATTTGAATTCGAATTTTAGAATTATTATATGAATATAATTATTATATTAATTAATCCTCACTTAATTTATATATATATTTTTTTTGGTAAACAACACTTAATTCATATATTAATAGTGAGTGATTTCATTATTCCCACGTAATTTTTCAACATTTTCTCCGCATAAAAGGAATAGCTGAGACCTTTAATATTTATTTCTATGTGACTCTTCATTTGCATTAGCTGTTTTCGATTTATTTACAAAAATTTGTAGGCATATGATTCCATGAAGTATTTATGATAAAAATTTAGCAATTTTAACTTTTTCAGTTGTGAGAGTGAGGAAGGTTATACTTAGAACCTATTTTTGTTTACAACTATATCTTAACCGTTGATTTCCGTCAATCAACGGTTAAGATTTTCGTAAATTAAATTTATTAATTAATTATTAATTCGCAATAAGTGATAACCGATGATTAAAAGAAATCAACGGTTAAGATATGATTATAAGATGTTGTAAATGAAAATAAGTTGTAAGTATAACCCTCCGAATTGAAAAACTTGAGCTGCACAACTATATTTAGGACAGGAGTCCGGATTTTTTTGTAACGAGATAAAAATAAAATATCAAAATTATAAGTATTATTAAGAATAATAAAATGGAGTAACGAGTATAAATATTTTTTAAGGTAGCGTTAATAGTTTAGGAAAATATTTTTTTGTATATATAATAATAAAATAATGAAAATTTAGTGAGAGAAACAACAACAGCGGTTTCTTGTCCCTCTCGCGCCCGCCCCGTAGAGCATACTCCACTAATAAACAGATACTCAAAGTTCGTAACAGATACATTTCATTTTGATTTTATTTCCTTTAAAATTCCACAAGTAAATGCGGGAAAAATTAAAGTATAGTCTAAAAAATAATAAATCTTATATTTAATCCATTATATTTATATTTAAATATTAATAATAAAAGCTATTAAATGTAATTAAAATATTAAATGTTGGTCAGTGGTTACACGACCCACACAGAATTAGATCATTGAACCGGTTGATACCAGTGAAATTTTTAGAAAAAAAAATAAAAATATCAATCATAGTCATTGCTTCCATAAAGAAGAACCATATATATATAAAGAAAAAATTGACTAATTGGTGGAGGAGTGTGTTTCTCTCTCCTATAATGCAGCAGGTTTGATAGCAACATATGATATCTAAAATAGAATTGGCAAATTCTAATAATCTTTGTATCACTTTCACCAAAGATTTGGCCTTTGGATTGCACGAGGGCCCCTATATATGCACCATCTCATAAAGCCCTTAGCTCGTGATAGGTGCTTTGGACATTTATGAACCAACTTGCTTTACATATAGCAGCCTCTTCCACCATGTTACGTGAACGAAAATAGCATCACTCTCTAATCAAACTCAAATCAATTATGGTTTTGAAAGAAGGGTATGCGCGTGGTGAATGAAGTGGCTTTTATTATGATTGGGGGGGACTACAAAAACTAAGTTAGTGGTGTAGGCATCAAGAATCAAAGATATTTATTTTTGTTAAGCTAAGCTACTAGCTAGAGTACTGGTGAATATGAGAAAACTCGCTTTCTTCAAAAAGTGGTATTTTCTTAATTTGTAATAACTTGGAAAATGGAAAATGGAAAAAGCCAATTCAAATCGTTTTCCCAACGATAACGACTCTGAACAATCTTAGCTAAAAGCATTTTGTGTCTAACTACTTATAGCCCAGACCAGAAGACAACCATTTTGAGACAGTACTGCTTGCCATTTTTCACATGCCTTTCTTATACATACGCCTTAGAGTAAGCCTTTGTTGCCATTTTCAAGATTGTTAGGTACTTGGAATTATCAGAGGAATCATTAATGATAAAGGCATGAAGAATAGCTGAGATGTGCAAAGATAAAAAAAAAAATGGCAATGAATATTACTAGGGAAGGTTATATTTATCGGTTATCATTTTTTTTCTTATCGCTTCTTATTATTAATTTTGTTATCGTTGTATCAAAATTAAATTAACACCTCTCACTTGATGTTATTATGTATTTATTAATTTGATTTTGACAAAAGAATAACAAAATTGATAATAAAAAATGATAAGAAGAAATGTAGATAAGTAGTAACCTATATTATTATCCTACAAGGTGGATTTTTGGCCTTATAATATTAGTGGTGTCAGGAAGTGGTTTGGGATGACAATCCCCTCTCTCGTCAAGTTTATAAAAAAATTTAGAATTATGAGATTAATATTTCTTATATTATATGAGATAATTTTATTTTTTATGTATATATTTTAATATATGGGACCCATGTGAGTGATGTAAAAAGAAGAGAGAAACAAAAAAATTCACACACACATTTATTTATATATAATAAAATTATTTTTTATAACACGAAAAATACTAACACCTAGACCAGATAGACTTAAGAGGAATACACTGTAGTATACGTTAGTTGTTAATTTTTTTTTTTGTTATCCTAAGTTAGTTGTTATCTAATTCAGCTTTCAAACTTTTGTCCTTATTAGTTTTTTTTGTATGAAATATTTTTTCAAATATGGATACATATTGACCCATCATTATATTAAACAGAGAATGTTATATATATTTATAAATTTTTTGTTTATAAATTCTTACAAACTACACTAAATATGACCGATCATATTTCAATCAAGAGTATATGACCGATCATACTTAATATAATTTTTAAAAAATATTTATAAACGAATCCTTCCCATGTTAAACTGTTTAAGTTAGTGTGAATTTTATTTCATTCACACCCTCACATTATTTTGTCTTGCTCTGTCATTCCTGAATTAATAGAGTAATTATTGACCCTAGCAAGCTCCATTTACCCTATATATAATAGTATTTCTTCATAAAGGGAATAACTTTAATTTTTTTTTTTTTTAATGTTTAACGTTCTTGGTGGATTGCATTTGACATATATAGAGTCAATAGTATAAATATTTTAGTTCTTAGCTTTGATTAAACATTAGTTTTGACTCATTAAACGAATGCTGATACATTATTATATATAAATTGACGTCTTGTGGTATGAAAGTTGGGATGATAAAAGCCTTAATTTACAGAGAGACAAGGCTTATTATCATTGGTTGAGCATCTTGTCTTTAATCTTCAGGCTACCATCTGCAAAGTGATATGTTTCCTCATTATTATAGAAAAATACAAAAGAGAAAAAGTTGAAGCCTTTCCCCAAAACAGAGGATTATGCATACAAGTCCAACCATAAAAGGATACACATAGGGTTAGTCGTTAGTGCGTGTGCCATTATAGGACTTCTGGAAACTTTGGGCATAAGATAGGCATTTTGGTTTGATGTGACTCACTTTCTCATTATGAAAATAGGATAAAGTAAGGAAAAGATACAATAAAATGGAAGAAAAATGAGTCATCTTTTTTTTTTTTAAATGTATTATATATCTAACATGTATGTGGGCCATAACGAGCTACATTTGGTTCCTACCTTTAGGTGGTGTTTGGTTGAGGAATTTTTTTTGGAATAGTAGGGAAATGAGATAGATAGAGAAATGATTGGAAAGATAGATAAAGTGAGATAGGTAGAAAAATGTAAAAAAAAGTTGTTTGGTGGGAAAAAACTTTACTGGAAAAATTAGGTAACTTTATAAAATCAACAATGCATTAAAAGCCAGATAACCGGTTTTCCGAAAAATCCCACCTTCAAATTGGGTTTTTAAACAGTGCGGATATCTATGTTTCTCATAAATCCAGACAAATTGAATAGATGGGTTTTTGGTGAAAAACGTTGAAACAAACATGGTGTTTCTAAAAGCCATACTTGAGAAAGATAGATATCCCCTAAAAAACTCCCAACCAAACACCACCTTAAGCTCTTATGAAACCACCCCCTCAGACATGAACAGGTTTCCCAAAACTGAATAAGATTCTTGATGAACATGTTCAAAATTCCACTCACATAGTAGTTAGCAGCCTAGTCAAGTTAGGTTCCGTTCTTATCTAATATTGTTTGGAATTTTATATTTTTGTGCCATCTTTTGTAATGCTAATAAGTAATAACCACAAATGTCAAATTTCATACTTTCTTATCATTTTCTTTTGGCATTAAAAAGTGCATAGTGGTAGACACTTCGCACCAACTGGGGTTGCCTTGCCTATGCGAATTCCTTTACTTTGTTAATGTATCATTCTGTTCAGAAACATTACATAGTCTTTTAAGTTCAATAATTTATTCATTAAATTGTTTATCTTTTTACATAGTAAGTAAGTAAGTATTCTAGGGTCTGTTTGGTATCATAAAAAATAAAATCAAATAAAATAAAAGAATTGAAGATTTGGATGAGTTATTTATCCCTTTCTTTGGTATTATTCAATGAGAAAGAAAGACAACTATCTTTCCATTATTTGGTGTCATGAAGAGTCAGTTGAGCTGGACCTTTTCATTCAAACCTTGGCAAATGAGTACTAGATCTTGACCTATTCCAAGTGGGATTATAGGCCCAACTGATAAAAGACCCAAAAGACTATGACTTAGTAAAGAAAAAAACACAACCGTCTTGTGTATTTGTGACAATCCCACAACCACTTGACACACATGACCAGTTGTTTGGTCAATTGCAGCTATACGATATCAGTTGCTCAGAGCACCATGACCCCTATAAGGACCAATACCTTAAAGATAGATACCCACATGTCACTATATCTACAAAGGCATAGCCTGAGAAGATTACCACTATCCACTAATAGAAGTGAAGACCATTATACTAAGGGGGAACAAGCAATATGCTCATATACTAGAAATAAAGAGGCATTAAGCGTTGGTATGATCACCTTCCATAAATACTTGAACACTTATTAACTTGAGCATCGAAATATCTTGCAAGTAGTCACCTCCAATCTCCTCCAACTACTCCAAAGCGCCAATTCCAGCCCAAGCATCTCGCCAACCAATCAAGTAACTCGCAAATAACACATCAACCCAAATACAACTCTATAGTTACAGGCTCAAATGTGTTTGATTCAGTCCAATAGTTATTGGACGAATCAATACTCATTATTAGTTATAACATATAATTGTTGCCTCGAATGAATTTTTAATCTTCCCATTATTGTAAAATATGTTTTCCACAATTTTAATTCAAATGGTATATATATATATATATATATATATATATATATATATATATATATATATATATATATATATATCCATAATTTTAATTTAAATGATACATATATCTATCAGTTCATTGATTATCCGATTAGTTCGATTGGAGCATTGTTGAATCTATTATAAGGGCAACTCTTCCAAAAATATTTTCATTTTCATTTTCAGCACTCGAATTTGATATCTCAATTTAAATGATGTTAATTGACTAGTTTTATATTCATACAATAAACTCTCCTTATCAATACGTTATTGATATGGCTCTATATACTTTTTTTTCTTTTAGTCATATGGCGCTAATATTTGTTAATGAATGACATACTTTTCATTGACATGGTATTATTTGTGTTAAAATAGAGATGAGATGAAGCTGACAAAAACAAGTGTCACACTAACATTATGTAGTTAAGGAAACTTACTTGTATTATAATTTAAAGAAAAACATTATTTATACAGAGAAATTTGAATACTTTTTTACACGTAAAAATTCTTTTTTAAGTTAATTGATCACAGCCCTTGCCCATATATGTGTAGCAAAAATGAAAAGAACATACAACTCAGTATCAAATCAAATCACACGAACTCATATGATGAACGAAATTAGAACTCCTCTGAACTTATCTTCTTCAGCTATCAATCGTTTTTGTTTTTATTGTTTTGATATTATCATCAATCATCTTTAGTTGTACTCCTTTTCTTGGTATGATAATTATATTGACATGTGAACATTTACTATACTGTTGAAATGATTGGTTAGAGCACAATCGATTTTTTATCTCACACTTTCACTTCTTGCTCTGTTTCATCTTTTCAACAATTCCTCCCAAACAGCTTGATTTCATTTGAATATCAAAATAAACAGATTTGAATTTGTTGAAATTTTGAAAAAATAAGAGCTTCCACATGATATTTGTATAAAAAAATGCACCAAGATGTGTATTCATATTTGATATAATTAGGCATTAGCTATATGGAAAAAAGTGGGACGGTTTGGGAATGTGGCCCAATATACATGGGCTGGTACTAACACGACCCAAAGCCCTAAACTGTAAAGATACGGTCTAATTTTCTAGTATGCTTACTGCCACATCACTTTTTCCTATTTACTTTTTTTATATTTTGTTATCTACTGTGAGACTTTTTTTATTTATACTAGCGTATTGAACAAGGTGTCAAATGTCAATCTGAATATTTTATTTTATATTTTTGAAAGAAAATACGTATAAAGTACTTACCTCTTGAATTTTTCTTTTCAATTATCCAAAAAGTTATCATTTAAAAAAGAATATAGTACTTAGTACTTGAATTCTTATTCAATCATACAAAGTGTCGATAATATTTTGAAAGAATGATAATGTAATTATCTTAATTTTTTATCCTTTGTTTTTAGTTGTTTCGAATGAATTATATTAGGAAAAAATATTTGTCCTTTTAAATGACACAATTTCTGTTATTTCACTCTCACAAAGAGGTGGGACCCACACCTTTTATTTTTTTTGTCCACTCTCTCTCCTCTTTTATCTATCTTTTTCTTTCACTTAAAATAACACAACTTTACATCCTTTAAAATGATACACACTTTTTCCATTATATTAACATTTTGAGAATAATCAAAATGTGATGAAATAAGGGTAATTTCCTTTATAACATACATAGATAATCTTGCATTCACTCACACGACATTTGGTCTTACGAACTTGTTTCCCTTGGATTTTGTCCTCTTCTAGATGTTCCAAATTAGAAGTTAACTGTATCCTTGCTCGTTGATATGTAGGCTTTCCTCATTTGTTCCCATATGAAGAAAGTCAATTCAGAATGCCATGGTTGTGATCACGTCGAAATAACTTAAAAAAGAAGCAAACAAATTAAGGGTCAAACAAGAATTGCAATGCAGGCACTGATACACACAGTTAAGAGCCAGTGATGTTGGATATAGACATACACCTACCAACATTTTGAGCAACAAAATTGGCGTTTGATAGTGCTAGACACTTTCCTAGCTATCCATGTATATAGAACAAGCAGAGAATAAACACTTAGCACTTGGGAGTAGTCAAGAATAAGAGGGTCAAATTTACTCCATCATATATAAGCATTTTCTATAGCTACTCTCTCAGCCTTCCAACCCTTTCTTCCCTGCTTCTTTTTCTTTAATATGTAGAATTTTGTAACTAATGATAATAGTATCAGATTTTTGCCTTCCTTTTACGATATAGCTTCCTTCATTGGAGACATAGGATTGGGAAAAATAATGTTTACATCAATTGACTAATATATTTACAGGTTAGACACAATAAATTATAGATTTTATACTTCTCATGACATTGTAATATGAGAAGAAATATTTTTCCTACACATCTTTTAATTTTCGTGCTGACATTGATCTCACACATGACTTTTTCTAATATATGGATCTCATATGATTTTTGTTTTTATGGCATAAAAAAACTCATTAAGTATAAACCCATAAATTATATTAGATGACTAACATTTTACAGGGTTATCTATTTTCTGGATTAGATTTTACATGGGATTTATTTGCTTTTCTCGCACTGTTCACAATTTTCTGACTTGCTATAATGGATAATCTCTTTTGTCTCTCATCGTGGATTTCACACATCATTTATTACCAGTATCTGTGATGCAATGTTCAATTGAAGAACCAAGTTGGTTACAACAATTAGGAATGCTAGTTAAATCAAACTTAAATGAACAAGCTAACATTTTTTATATTAGACACCACTTGAATTTAGATGTACGTATGCAAACATGTTTCTAAATGGCATGGTGTCTGTAGAGTAATTTGTTTATTGTGACTTTATTGGTGAGATGGTGTTTCCCTAAGCACTTGATTAATTTTCATAGTGGGTCGTTTTTGCATTTATAGGACTCTTCATATGAATAAATTAGACACAGAAGGATTGGTAAATGATATTACTGTATGCATTGTATTTAGGGGTGTAAATAGGCTAGGTTAGGCTTTGATTTAAATAGATCAAGTTTGTATAAAAAACATTGAGTATGGTCTGGTCTATTAGCCTGTGTAGCTCCAAATTATAAGTCTGTTCTGACCTATATTTAAAAAAAAAAAATCTTAACCTAGGCCTCTTAACCTGTTTAAGCCTATTAAACATTCAACAATTAAAAGAATAATCAAAATAATATTATTTTATTATTCAAAATTATTAAATAATAATTTTATTTATTATATTTTAAATAAATAATATGATATAGGTCAGCCTGTAGGTTTATAGGCTTGACATGTATAGAAAAATCTATGGTCTGTTTTCTAAATAGATTTTTTTAAAAGTCTAAACTTATTCTATTTTACTACTTATAATAAGTTAAATCTGACCTAATATAGACTAGGCCGTAAATCCCTGTACACCAGCCTATTTTATTTACATAGTTGTATCCTCTTCAGCTTCACCATTATGCATCTCAATATTCTAGGCGAACCATTTATGTTCTACATCTATGTGTAGTACAATATATTCAAGGCCTAATTAGTGCGTCACCTTCCTGAATGATATTGCTTTAGCGCACCTAAAAAATGAACTCTATTTGCGACCCCGTCTTCAATTTTTTTATAATTTCAGGGTCTGGAACGATGTATATTTAATATTGTCTTGATTAAAAAAATGATATTATTTGACCAAGGTTAAATTTCTCTCTGAAAATCTGTTAGGTTATCTGGACACAGCTGTAGCCCCTATCATATAAAACAAATAAGCAGTCGCGTAAATTTAAAACAAAAAGAATGTAGTTTACTTATGATCATAACAAAGACAACTAAAGAAAGGTTGGATTAATAGGATATATGGATATGTATGATGTGTTTATCCTACGATTAATTTTATTATTTATTATTCGGTTCATCGATTATTCGATAAATCTGATTTGAGTTGAGTAAAAGTGATAAAGCTCTCTTTATCAAATTTTAACATAATTGCGTATCAAGTTTTAACAGAGTTACATTTGTAGATATTCAAATTTGATATTACTAATTAAGATGGCACATCTCTAATCAATTGATCCACGTGTTTGGTGGTCTTACCATTAATTTTTTAAATACTAATTTGGTGTTAGAAGCTCTAATAGACTAGGTTTCGAGTTTGAGTCTCTTAATGAAATTTTAGCATGTATAAATTAACTGAATTTAATCATTTAATATGTAATAATAGGGAAATATAAAAATCATATTGTAAGAATAATATTGTTTATTTCTGCAATTAGTTTTTAATTATGTACTCCCAAAAGTATATAATTAATTTTTTTTTAATATTATAACTATGTACTCTAAAAAGTATATAATTAAAAATAAATTACAGAATATTCTGTAACAAAATATTCGATATACCCGTGATAATATTACCATCTAAATAAAAGAAACCAAAGAGTTGGCCTAACTCAGACATACAAGAGCATTTTCAGTATATCGGATATATTAGAATTTAGGGTGTGTTTGATACAAGGGTATAAAAAAAATTACTGATAAATCTTTTCTGGTAAACCTCAATTATCATGTTTGGTAGAAGTAACAAAAATTAATTTCCGGATATTCAAAGTTTACCGGTAATTTGATTTACAAAGAAAAGTCACTATTTAGATTATCAAAAATAATATGATAATTCAGAATTTCAAGTAAAGAAAAAACACAATAACAATTTTTGAGACAAAAAAAATTCCAACACACATCAAAATCTAGAACCAGTCTATCAATTACAAAAATAAAAATAGTTTGAATTTTTTTTTTGTAAAATAACCTCATATTTCAAGTCATATTTCGTTCTAAACCAAACATAAAATCAATAATCTTTACTTAATATTTCTGGTAATATTTTAACGAACAAACACTTTTTTCGTAACATTCCGAGTAAATTCAATTTTTAGTGTATTTTTAATAATTGTGATTTTTAGATATCAAAAAATTTCTCTTGAATCAAATATACCTCTGATGCATCGCATTATATTTTACCAAGAGGACCGTAAGACTGGATCATCACAGAGTCTATTTTCTGATACACAAGATCTCTTTGCAAGAAAAGTGTAAAATATACTAACTTAACTTGGTCACGTAACGTATTTCTATTGAAATGATATATCTGCTGCCGCCGTATTACAATAAAATTTTCGCAGATACACCTTGGATCCTTCCTGGGTCAAGTGTGGAGAGGAATTCCTAATCATCAACCTTTCTTTTTTAATTACTTTCCGTGAATTCCTTCTCCCTATGTTGTTTTCTAGTCACTATTATACAATAGTACTGCAAACGGATCATACGATAATTGACAACTCACTTTATGTTGTGTTTTCTTGCAGTGACCAAGTAAAATAGAGTTATTTTTCTAACCTGTCAAATCAAACCAAATTGCAACACTGTATTGCATAAAAAGACAAGAGCCTTTATATGAAATTATATAGTTGAAGAGGTTCACATGTCACCCGAACAACTAACTCACATGCGAATTTATGTCAACGTTACAAGATCCTTCTTTCTTTTAAAAATTGTTTGGAAATAAGAGCAGGTATGTATATGACGTTTACTTCTAATTAAAATACTATTTCTTGAAATAAAGAATATTTCAATTATATATAGAGACGTTTTCATACCACTAATTTAATATTGTGACACCGAGATGAAGGATTATTTTCAATTCAAACTTAAGTCCTTCGGCCGGTTGGGGTTTAAGTTTAGGTTATTTTTATTTCTATTTTTTGTGCTTTTAGTTTTTCTTTTTCTTACCATTTCCTACTAATAACAATAATAATAATGATTGATAAAAACAAAATACCATAAAAAGAAATAGAAAAGGAACAAAGTATGATGAAGAATCTTTTGTGTGGTACACTATATAATAAAGGCAGACTCCAACGTTAGTTAGATATAATAATATGAAATCTTATGTTCGGATACACATTATTTTTTAAGTAATTTTTGCATTAATGTAATTTTCAAGATATTTTGAAAACTTATAGAACTATAAAAAAAATCATAAAACTATATTGCTAAATAAAATTAAATCATAAGAACACATTTTGTAATAAACTAATATTTCAACGCATAATTAATTATTTTTTATTTTAATTTATGAGAGAATCAAATAATAATAAATAATGATGTCTGAAAATAATAGTAAATATTAACGTAAAACTCATATACACTTGTAGCAATTAAACTCTTTCCTAGTAGAAATAATAAAAAGTCGAAATATTCATATACATGTCCATGTTTTTAAGAGAATTTATTATACGAGTCAATCAAGATTAAGCATCTCTTTACACATTTCAAATATGAATAGTCAAAGCCATGCATGGTCCCGTGGAGCATGCCATCTTCACCAAAAGTTGAATTTATTTTCCACTTTTAATCTTGTTTGTTTCTCATTTAAGTTGGTCATTAAAAAATATATAATCTCATTCCTTCATTTGGGTTTTATCTTAAAAAATAACCGATGCAGCTATAATCACAGATAATAATAATAATAATAATAATATTATTATTATTATTATTACTACTACGAAGAATGTTATACGTATAATCTATTGTCGTTTATAATCTCTTACAGTAGTATTTTAACTGTTAATTTTTATTAATTTAACAGTTATAATTTATTGGATGATATTTGTTAATTATTAATTTTTAATAAATTATAACTTTTAAATTGATAAAAATCAACGATTAAGATATGATTGTAAGAGATTATAAATGAAAATAAATAGTATATTTATTTATTTATTATTATTATAGGATAGTATATGATATTGTAAAACCAACTAATGTTACTATCAATATTACTACCAATCAATTTCACCGTTAGATCAATTATGTTGATCCAATGATTATATTTATTTCCATTTTGTATGATTATGATTTCCATATGAGAAATCATAACCATACAAAGGTGAAAATAAATATAAAACATTAAATATGGAAAATCATAACCATACAAAGATAAAAATAAATATAATCATTGGATCAGTATAATCGATCTAACGATAAAATTGAATTAATTGATAGTAACAATAATAACACTGATTGATTGTTACAATATAATTTCCCTATTATTATTATTATTATTGTTTTATTGTCTCATGAGTCATGACACTTTCTCTTTGGTTCTCTGACATTTTCTTCTTCGACCTTTCAAACTATTTCACTCTCAGAACTTCAATGGAGAAGAAGAAGAAGCCTACACCTTCCCAATGACAACAACTACACCTTCCATTTTATCTTTCTTTTTCGCCGCCATTTTCTTCATAACCGCCGTCAACGGCCTTGGCTCCGCCGCCACCATCGCCGTCACCTACGGCACCGCCACCGTCTGCGGCATAGTTGCCGGGGAGAAAAACCAGCATATCCAATGCTACCAAAAGGGGAAACGTGTTCCGGTGATCCTTCCAAACGTTTCCTTCGAGGCAATCTCCGGTGGCCGGAGCTTCTTCTGCGGCCTCAGGTCCGGTGGCTTCAGCCTCCATTGTTGGGACACCAATGTGTCAAGCTTGGTGTCCAAACCCAGAAGGTTGTTTCACAGTGATGTGGTTCAGTTGAGTGATGTAGCAGTTGGTGATACTCAGGTTTGTGCCAGAGAGTTGCATTCTGGTGTGGCAAGGTGTTGGAGAGGAGGTGGGGGAAATGGTGATGAGTTTCCTTCACCTGGTGAAGGGTTTAGGTTTAGGACCATCACTTCTGGGTCTGGTTTTTCTTGTGGGGTTTTGAAGGAGAACAATAAGGTTTTGTGTTGGGGTGAGGGTGGGAACATTATTGGTCATGAGATTCAGAAACTGTTTGGTAATTTGTCAATGTCAAGTTTAGTTGCTGGAGTTTCTCATGTTTGTGGATTGACCCTTAATGGGGTTTTGGTTTGTAGAGGAAACAACAATGGTTCTTCTAGTCAATTTGGTGTTATTGTTCCTTTCAGTTCAGCTTCAGGGTTTTCAGGTCTTGCTTTGGGAGAAGATTTTTCTTGTGCTATTAGGAGCACAAATGGATTTGTTGTGTGCTGGGGTGGTGTCAATGGGTTTGATTTTGATAGTGATGTGATAAAGGGTGTTTCTTTTGAGTCATTAGTTGCTGGTTTGGATTTTGTTTGTGGGTTGACAACTAGGAATTTGTCTCTGATTTGTTGGGGTCCTGGTTGGTCTTCTAAGCTTCATTTGCCTAGTAGTGATCTTCCATTGGGAATGATTCTTCCAGGTCCATGTGTTATTGATGCTTGTAGTTCTTGTGGTACATATCCTAATTCTGATATGCTATGTCATGGGTCTGGAACTATTTGCTATTCATGCAAGACTGAGTTTCCACTTGCTTTGCCATTGCCACCACCACCATCATCATCACAAGTTCCAAAGCAACAGTCTTCTTCAGCTAAAGAGAAAAACTTAAGGGAATGGTTGGTATTTCTGGTTGTTGGATCAGTTGGGGCTTTTGCAGGTCTATGCACAATTCTTTATTTCTTTTGGATTGGAGCAAGAAGATGCTTGAAGACAAAAGTTGATAATTCTGTGCAACCCACAAGCAATGAGTCTGATTCCTATGTGGATATAGTTCCCATGCCTAATCAAGGTTCTAATGGCACAACATTAAGATCTTTTTCTAGCAGAAGGCAGAGCTCAATAAGATTGAGGAGACATAGGAGTGGTTCATCATCAAAGCGTGTAGACAGGACTGAGAGTTTCTCATTACGTGAACTAGCCATAGCCACAAACAACTTCTCAGTAGATAATAAGATAGGTGCTGGTAGCTTTGGCAGTGTTTACAAAGGCAAGCTAGCTGATGGTCGTGATGTAGCCATTAAAAGAGGAGATACCAGCACTAAGAAGAAGAAATTCCAGGAAAAAGAAATTGCTTTTGATTCTGAATTGGCATTGTTGTCCCGGCTTCACCACAAGCATTTGGTGAAGCTAATTGGATTCTGCGAGGAAAATGATGAGATGCTTTTGGTTTATGAGTACATGATCAATGGGTCACTCTATGATCATTTGCATGACAAGAAAAACACTGAAAAAAGTAGCAGCATTTTGAATTCTTGGAAGATGAGAATCAAGATTGCATTAGGTGCTGCTAGGGGAATTGAGTATCTTCACAACTATGCTGTTCCATCCATTATTCACCGAGATATTAAGTCCTCAAATATACTCTTGGATTCAAATTGGAATGCTAGAGTTTCTGATTTTGGATTGTCACTAATTTGGCCTGAGACTGAGCTCGAATTGATGTCTACCAAAGCAGTTGGAACTGTTGGATACATAGACCCTGAGTACTATGTCTTGAATGTGTTAACAACAAAAAGTGATGTTTATGGTTTAGGAGTGGTGTTGTTAGAGCTTCTGACAGGAAAAAGAGCTGTGTTCAAAACTGAAGAAGGGTCAAGCCCAATTGGAGTGGTGGAATACACAAGGCCAAGGATAGCAGCAGGAGAGTTGTGGAATGTGTTGGATTATAGAGTTGGACAACCAGAAGTGAATGAGGTTGAGTCTCTTGAGCTCATGGCTTACACTGCTATGCATTGTGTGAACTTGGAGGGAAAGGAAAGGCCTGACATGACTGACATTGTTGCTAACTTGGAGAGGGCATTGACTTTTGTTGAGGGTAGCCCTGGTACCCTCTCCATAACTTCATTCTCTGCCCCACTTGAATGAAAATTCATCCTTGAATAGATTCATGAAATTCTTTTTATTTTTTGCCCCCCTCTTCAATTTCTTTTTCTTTTATAAAATTATTCTTTGTGTTATGAATGTTTGAACTTTAGGTGAACATAAAAAGACCTTTCTCAACTGTGTCAGGTCCAAAAGAAAGACAGATAAAAAAGAAAAGCAAAACTATATTAGTTATGTACATGATTTTGCTATAATGAGGTAGATGTCACTTCATCTGTTGGACTTATTAAGTGAGGTCACCTTATTTGTTTCTTCTCAAACCACCCAAATTATATAGCCATATTAGGAATTGGTAGAAAATTTGAATATATTTAGTGATTGCTTCCCTCATTATTATTTTCTTAATTTAATTACTGGCATAGGAGACATGGGGCATGCAGCATTAATTAGTGTTCAGAAAAGTTATAACCTTCCAAATTTGAGTTCAAAATCACGTTAGGAGCACATTAATTTAAGCCCATTTTCTACGGATCCAGCTTCATTCATGCTTACACGCAACAGATGTGATCTGTCCTAGATATTTGTAAATCTATATGGATTTGTTCCTCAAGCATTTCTTTTATATAATATAAATGTGGGATAAAATATTCTGCTTACTAATCTTCAACACCCTTAGATCAGAATCTCAACTAACTTTCACTTATTCTCTTTCCGTTTGAGATTCTGATACAATAATATTGAAGATGAGTAGGTAAAGTAAGCATGAAAAGAAGTAGGCATAATATCCTATCCCTATAAATGTATAGATAAAAGATCACGAATATCTATGAATTTGTTCTCGTAATTTTTAATTAACAATTATTTTATACACTTTGTTCTTTAAAATGTATCCTCGATTAGAAGCTGATTCCTTTGAGTAATCCATTTAGAAGCAAACAACATGTTCTATAAATCTTGACAAACAAAACTATCAATAACGAGAATTATAAAATTTAAATGTTAAGCATTCGCTAATTGTGGTATCTCGAAGTCCTAAAATTTCTTTGTAGAGAACAATGAGAAGAAAATGTAAAGGAAGTGGTTTCCTCCGTTCGTCATGAAGCAAAACGAAGACCCTTATTTTAGGACTATATAACTCTTAAAAAAAATAAAATACTATGCCTTGGATAGCATGAAGCACATTTATACATTTACTAAAAGTCTCGTGATCAAGCAAGAGTACTAGTCTCATGCATTTATGCCATTTAGAGGTGACTTATATGTCATGATTCATGAACATCCTTTAAGCCTTCTTAAATGCCAAAACGATGGGAAACAAAGTCTAATATGTCCCATAAAAAATCCTAGTATGTAAAATTGTGATATGTGCAATGAGATTGCGTGACTTCAAATTCTCGGAATACATTATGTACTATATCCTCTGCAAATAGATGAGTCAAGAAGAGTACCCTTTATTTGCAAAATAAATTGGATAAATCTGAAGCATGGAACAATATCAATTACTGTGATGGTGAAAAATACGGTAAAAAAAAAAAAAAATCACAATTACACAATGCGTAGCCAGAGAAAAAGGAGCCACTTAAGTTTTGTGCTGAAAAAAAAAGATATGCATGAGGTTCGATTCAGTATCTGCCAAGAATATTGAAATCACCTAACAACGTTATTTTCGTTTCTGGTGATCTCTTCAAGTTCTTGCTCACTCACTTAACTATATTAATACAATTTTTTAATTTTGAGGTTGTTATTTTTGTAAGTCTACATAAATAAAAACCTATTTTTTTTTTTAATCTTATGATACCTGCAAAAATAAATATTGGATTTTTTTTTTGGAGTTAACTCAATCTTAATTATTTCTTTGAGGCGAGTTGGCACCCCCCAATATCCTCACAAGCTTTTGGTCTTTGAGCCGGTTATGAAACTAATCCGGAGTATGGGATGGATCAGAAAGAAAGATATTTAAGCTCCTTCGAAAGATGACATGTAAAAATTGAATCGAAACCCTTTCTTTTTCCTTGCTTAACTCTCTTGCCTACCAAGTGAACTACCACCATTTGATATCATAAAAAAAAGTTTATAAAAGTTTTCCCTAACTTTTAAGGGAAAAATGATAAATTGACACTTTTTAAATTCTTCTGACCGCGACTTTTAGTATTAAAAAAAGAAAAAGGATGCCATCTACTTTGATAATATCTCACATGACGCTATGCTGAGCATCACTTTAACTTTCACTTATGATTCTCTTCAATATTTCAGCCTTAATCCACTGAATTGGTTCCCAGTTCCCACAGATGAATGAATGGGCATCCACTCACATGAACAAGTAAAATTAAGCCAAATTATGTTAGTGGGGGTAGAGAAGAATGATGGAGGCTTTGACCTACCCTTATTATAGCAAAATCATGTACATAACTACTACCTTTGATTAAGATGGATAAGCACCCACGGAAGAGGTGGTGGACACAAAAGTGATGTGGTAATTTTGTTCCTTGCTTGTAAACTTCCCCAATGTAATTCCATTATCTTCTGAATGACCAAAACGTTTGCTTTTTTATCCTTTCTTTTTCTGGTATATTACTTGGTAGATTAGTAGACGTTGTTACAACTTAATAAGTGATATTTGTACAAATTTCCATGTTCCTAATTATATACTGGTTATTTAAACCATGTTTATAACGGCAAGCCTCTATTGAGCTATAGCTTTTGAATTTAAATATGCATCAATTTCAAAATCTATACACGAGCCATTAGCTCAGCCAAAAACTTTGTGGTGACTCTACATTTGATTATACACTCAAGATTTTCTCAGATGTTCTATTCATTACTCCTTAAACAAACGTACATATTACAGATTATATGAAAAACTTATCAATAAATTGGCCAAGTAAGCAATTTTTCCACTATCTTCTTTGTTGGAGATAGTGGAGCATCAGAGATATTTAAAACTTAAAGACTGTAATATGAATCTCCATTATGATGAGAAAGATAGTCATGTGAACTTCCCAAACATTAACTGTGAATAATTTCTACCTAGAATTTTCCTCAAGTTACAACATTGTATATTGGCTCAAACGGATTTATCTTAATTTGGTTGTTTTTAAAAGTTTATGCAGAGAGAGAGAGAGAGAGAGAAACAAAAGAATGACATGGGAAAGAAATGAAAATGAGAATTCCCGTGCTGTTTGCTCTGTTCAATGATGACCTATTAAAAAAGCTAAATCCCGTAAATAATGACCTACAAGGTACTAAAAATTTACAAAATTTTATAACGTACTTTTCTTTTGACACCAACAATGGCACTCACTGTAGTATAAGCCAGTTCACTGTGATTTCATGTGGTGTTGTATGATCCACATCCTTTGTTTAGTATTTTTGTGCTGTAAAATGCAAGTGAAGTAACTCTATGCAGGTTTGAGAGTGCAGGGAGGAGTTTGCGAAGGGTAAGCAGTTGATTTATTGAGGAATATCCTCTGCTTTTCATCAGCAAAGCAAAGCACCGATTCTGCGCAAACTTCCAGGGCAGTTGATGATGGAGTAGGCTTGAAGTCTAGAAGTTTTGAGTATTCCGAAATAAGGTGGAACATGTAATCATAAATTCGATCCATGTTCAAGCTTTCCATAAAATCCTGGCCTCTTTTCCCTATAGCCTCAGCCTATAGCAATACAGAACCAACTATATAAATAATCAAATTCATTGGAACTGTTTCTCATACAAATCTTAGAAAGAAAGTTCAATAGTTGAAGTAGCAGGAAACTCACGATTAACTGCAGTCATAAATCTTAAGTATAATACTGATAGGCAGCTAAGATAAGGGATCGTAACTTGCATGTTTCTTGGCATGGCATCTTGTATGTATTTAAGCACTACTTTATTGTTCCATTAGCTCATGAATGTTTTGAGGTCAAATGTTGTATGTATTTAAGCAGTAATTTATTATTCCATAAACTCATGAATGCTATGAGATCAAATGTCATTCCTAAAATAAACATGTCCTTCCTTATATATTGAAGGAATAGATCATGTTCATTTTAAGCAGTTGAACCAAGCAAAAATTTCAACACAAAATGGACGAGTTCATAATTTTTCTCAACATATAAGGCTAAACATGTGCAATGGCTTTTGATCTCAACCTCTCTGTGCTAATGTCTTCTTTAATGAATTGTAAGACTTGACGACCACATCTAAGAATTTTAATTGTAGCTTCTTTTGTAAATACCAGTGTGTTTTGAGTCGGTTTTCACAATACAAAGGCTATTACAGTACACCAAATACATGGGAGGTAAAAAAAATAATTCTCTTTTCTTTAAAAATAAAAAGTAAAAAGTTAATGAATTGGAGAGAAGGTACAGCACTATATTGTTCCTCATGGATCAAAACTAAATGACAGGAATACAAAAAAATAAAATGAGAAAAGAAATACCTCATCTGGGTGTGCGTTTCCCCATTCTACAGCATTCTTTATAGATGGACATAGATCTAGAGGATCAACAAGCCAAAAGTTTTGCTTTGGAATAAGGCCACGACTGAAAAAATCTTCATACTGGGGTGATATAATTAGTGCAACAGAACCACATGAGAGAATATATTTCAAACTCACAGACCATGCATACCCTTCAGCATAGATCTTATACCTGCAGGAAGAAGACATTTAAAGAGAGTGAGGGCAACAGCAATAATCAGCGGCATGATAAAAACATCCTAATCGGTAAAAACATGACTTTTTAAAATGGAACTTATAACCAAATGACATTCCAATACTGCGTAACTTATCTTTTTAATTTTCTCTTTTATGCATGTTTAAGCATTATTATAATAAAGAAACTTCTGCAGCTCTTTTATCATTTGCACTATTAACCGTTCAAAAGAATCCAATTATATTTTGGGTGCATTGTGACCCATCAAATCAGATTGTACATCATCTTAAGTGAAACCGGTAGCATTGGCTTCAGAATAATGCTCTAAGATGCAGACAAAAGGTGCACTCACCGGTGATTACACTGACTTGAAAGTTTTGACTGCTTAAAGCCAGTTCTAGCTGCTTCACCCCAATCCTACATTGCATAGCAAGATATCACATCAGACAACTAAAATTTGGTACACACAGCATATTGAAATTACCAAACATTATTAAGCCCCAAATCCTGAATAAGGTAATTTAACCCAACCTGACGCATAATTTGTGCTCCCCACTCCCTAGAATTATTACATGTAAGTAATTCAGTACGAAGGGGAGATGAAACATCTGGGTTTCCTTTCCAGTATGCCAGCGGATACTTATTTTTCCAACTCACAGCTTGAGAACCTCGCTTGATATCTGGGAACTCCTCCTGCCAGGGTTGTATGTTTATCTCTGACCTGAGCAACAAATGTTTAACATAAAGATGAGTTACATCAAAACAACACACCCAAATTATAAGCCACCAACATACGCTTCTCATTAGATCATAAACATCAACATAGATCATTTACGTTACTCCTAGTTCTGTCATTTAAAATAAATAAAAAATCCAATAAAGTGAGCTTGTTTATAAAGTAAACAGATCAGGGAACTAAGATCAGAATGCACTTTTTAATTTAAATCAAGGTGAAGATACCCTTATTTGTTCCATCCAATAAACAAATAACTGAATGAAAAATTGAAAGGCATTGAATTGAATGAAACATACAAAGCAATGAGAAAAAAAAAAAAAAAAAAAAGGTAACATTTTGACAGGATCCAAATTAAAGACTTACCAACCCCAGAAAGACCAATCAGGGAAAGGGATGTCAAAGTGTTCCTTTGTGGTGCAATAGCGAAAGAGTGGCAAAGGCATTGAGCTATGTTCAGTTCTGTTAATAATAGGCTTGTCCATGCAATCAAACATCAAATCCACATCAGGAACCAAACCAGGGTACCTTTTCAAAAGCTGCAACAAACCCCACACAGTGAACATGGCCCTGCTCTGAACACAAGCATAGTACCAATCCACAAACATCTTCCCTCCAACAATCACCACTCTGAACGCCGCATACTGCTGCGCCTCCTCCAAATGCGCCTTCGAGATCCGCGTCGCCGCCCAAGGCTCCAGGTCCTTACGGATTGCCCGGAAAAAATCCGGGCAATTCACCCCGGCGGAGGCGAAACGCCGTGCCGTTACGCCGCCAGAGGGAGCGTAACGGCAAGTGAGGTAGGAGCATTGTATGATTTTGTAGTTGCGGCGTTGGCGTGTCTCTTCGTCGAAGGCCTTGTGAGGGAAAACGTGCCACGGCGTCGGTTCTAGGTTGTGACCCACCACCGTTCCGGTTTTGCAAGCAACGTCGTCCACCTGTTCGATGAAATTACCCAGAGAAGAAAAAAGGTGTGAAAAGGCATAAAAACGAGAGAAAATAAAACAAGAGGTGAAAAGGGAAAATGGGTAAGGAGAAAGAAGGGAAAAGGAATGACCTTGTAGAGAAAGATTGCGGTGAGGGAGAAGAAACAGAGGGCGATGACACAGGGGAAGAGGTAAGTGGGGGAGCGAGGTGAGTGTTTTGAAGAGAGTCCCATTGGAGAATAAGAAGTGATAATGGGAAAGAAGAAGAAGAAGAAAAGTAAGAGTTTTGGTACATTGTGTGTGTTGGGTTTGAGAGCGGTGAAGTTTGTTTGTTGCGGGAAAAAGAGGGGGTCCTAATTTGGAAAAAAGAGATGACTCTTTCTTCTGAATTCTCTCGTGGTGGTGAAAGGGCCCTACCAATATTATTGCGCATGCAAATGCAAATGCAATGCATATGATGGAGGCCACGTGGGTTAAGGGTTGAAATGAGTGAAGTGATTATTCAACTTTGTTGTGTCTGGTGCTGCATGATTGCATCACACAGTGAAAAAAGTAGAGCCACTCGGTTTGGAAATTATACAAACACATGGCGAACGAGATAGCCAAACAAAGATTAACTTCACTTGCTGTTGTTGGGCCACTTCGCTGTTTCTTCCAATTTTACTGCCACCAAGGTCGCTTGGAATGCTTCTGTTACGGTTTTTAGTTTTTATTTTATTATTTTTTGAATGGTTGAGTTATTTAAGTAGCGGGTAGTTATTTCTATTTCAACATTCCTAAATGATAGGTTATAGTTATTAATGTAGTTTATCTAGTACTAGTGAATAGTTATTTTTAAGATTGTCTTGTATTATCTATTTAAACAAGTATTTGAATAAATATAATCAGAAAATTTATTTGAAAAATAGCACTCTGGTGCAAGAGGTCAGACTTCCTCATTCAAGCCATTTGAGCTTCCTGGATAAAGTTAGGTCAAGCTTCCTGAATAAAGTCATTCTCATTTTTATTTATTGTGTTGGTAACGGCTTCTCTTCCATTTTATTATGCAGAATTTTTTAACGTGATCTAGGACTACTATAGTCCTTCCATTAAAAAATTGACACATGAATTAAATTTTTTTCTCTCGCCTCTCGCCTCTCGCCTCTCTCCTCTCTCCTCAATGTTTTCTCTCTTTCTCTCATCACATTTCCACCAAATTATTTAGGGTTTTATTAGTGTTATGTTACATGAATTAAGTGTTGTTTCCAACACAAACACAAAAATGGAGAGAGAAAGTGGAATGATGAAAGAGAAAGAAAAATATGTGGATCTCACCTCTTTAATGTGTGTGTAGGAAAGTGATGTTATATCATGTTACATGATAAACATAAAACCCAATTATTTATGCTCCCGAGCTCATAAACTTTGCTCCCATTATGCAGTTGCTGACTATACTCTGTAGAAGTTTACTTTTGCCCAAAGCTATTATTTTATTTTGCTTTGTTATATAGGATAGGATATTGTAACAAATAATTATGGTTATTACTAATCAATTTCACTGTTAAGTTAATTATGTTGATCTAACGATTATATTATTTTCATCCTTATATGGTTATAATTTCTCATATTTAATGTGAAAACAATAAATATGAAAAATAATAACTATACAAAGGTAAAAATAAATATAAAATATTAAATATGGAAAATCATAACCATACAAAAATAAATATAACCGTTGGATCAATATAATAGATGTAACGGTAAAATTAATTGGTTATATCATTAGTAGTAACACTAATTAATTAATTGTTATAATGTCCTAACCTTTTATATATATAATAAGAGGAAAATTATATTCACAAACTTTTTTTTTACAACTTTATAAATTACACTATATCTTATCGGTAAGACTTCACTTAAAAATATCTTACCGATAAGATATAGTATAATTTATAAATAAAAAATTTATAAATATATCATTTCTCATATAATAATAAGAGTGAGGTTTGAATTTATGACATCCTTTAAACTTTTCACCGTCCTACTTGCTTTTTGTTTTGAATTTCACGTGACATTATTTGTTCGCTGAAAATCTGAGGTTCTTTGAAACAATAATTCCGTGTCTTCATTGTGGTATATTCTTGAAACTTAATTGCCTTTGTTGTTCACTATTCTGAAATTTCGAGGATTCTTGAGTAAGCATATCAAATCCGACTCTTGGGATTTTTAGCAGTATATGCTTGAAACTTATAATTTTTGGTTTGTATATTGTTTTGGTGGTTTATGGTGAGATGTCCAGATTTCTTGATGGATTAATTTTAGAGATTTTGATACAAATGTCATTATCTTGAATCTCTGCATTTGACATATATTTTTAGAGCTTGGGTTGTGCTTTAATGTGATATATCTAGCGTGATAGGTAGGGGTGCTAAAGGAACCGGGGCCTTTGGCTCGACTCGTGAAGATCTGAGCTTACATGTCTAAAATTAGTTGTTGGCACTAGACTTGAACTTGTATAAAAGCTCGTTTAATAAAAAAGTCTAAGGCTCAAATTCAAAAGTTCGGTCTTAGAGCCTCTCAGACTGCCTTAGTATATTTTTTTTTATTTTATATTTTTTATACTACTTGTAATAGCTCTCTATTTCTCCTCAATCCATTTCATCTCATTTTATTGGTTAAACAGACTTTTTTTTTGTACAATTAAACAGACTTTTTAAATAATTTTTTTTATATTATGCTGTTTGGATATACATTAAATTTATAAATATTTATGAAATTACTAGTGTTATTGATTGTATATTCTGTTTAGATAAATTTTTGTTGTCTATTTTTTTTAAACATGCTAAATCAGGCTTTTGTTTTTTGTAAATAAGTCAGGCCACAGGCCAATAATCATATTTATAACAGGTAACAGGCTTGGTCAGGCTGACACATTCAAACACAGGCTTAGCCTTTTAAGACCAAAGCTCGGCTGGCTCGGCCCGTTAACACACCTAGTGGTAGGACACATAATTTTTGAATATTTCTCCTGTGATAAATCTGAACAATGTATTGTGTGTTAAAGTGAAGTTTCTGTGTGTGTGAAAATTTTGTCTTAGGCGTGTTGGGTGCAACCAAGAGGGTTGACGACCCTTTGCTTGGCTTGAGATTGTTCTCAAGGCTTGGAACCTCTAGAATCCACTAGAGAATGTGGAGTTCTTGTGTGAGAAGACTTGGTGAATCCCTAGGTTCGACTGAAGAGAAATCTTGGAGTTTAGAGCAGTGTAGGCACTAGGATAATTTTTGGTATTTTGATTGATTGAGTGTGTGACGCGTGTTTGTAAAACACTGTTTTGTGATCAATAAAATATCTGCAAGTACTTCAGTCTGGACGTAGCATCCCATTGCACTATGAGGTGTGAACCAAGATATATTGTGTGTCTTTCTCTCTTATTGATCTTTTTAAATTCTGAATTTTTTTAATATAGATTGAAAGTAACATTGTATCTAGTTTAAATTGCTATAGTTGTTTTCTGTTGTTTTAAAAAGTGTTGTAGCATGTTTACTTTATCTGATTTAAGTGTTGTAGCATTTAATTGTTTTTCTTATCATTGGACGTTAATTGTTTTCTGTTTTACATAAGAAAGTGTATAGCTGTGTAAATACTTTGAATAATTACTAAGATACGTTCTCTGTAATAACTCTAAATTGTAAAATGTCTAATTGCATTGGATTAATAATTTAATCATGTATAATGAGGATTAATTAAGTGAGGGACTTAATTTAATTAGATTAATTGTTAATCAAACACAATGTAGATAAAATAAGTGTAATACTTAGTTTAATCAATGTGGAGTATTGTTTATGAGGAAAATCCATTTTTGAAATAGTTAAGTGTGATTAAGTGAGAAAATGACAAAAGATGTAAAAAGCCATTGTTAGCTACTCCTTGCTGATGTGCTCGCTTGAACGAGGGCTTTAACGAGCATAGAGTAAAGGAGGAGACGAACACAAAATCAGGAAAAGGAGATGCAAAGTAACTTAAAATTAGACAGAATCGAGGAAAGAAGGAGAAGTACACAGAGGAGGCCATTTTTTAGGGGTTTGAGAGCTCGAAAACCTAGAGTGAGCTAGAGAGAGTGAAATCAATTGGTTCCAACTACAAAAGTGCGTAGAAACACCAGTAGAACTCAACCCACCTAAGAAACTCCATTGAAAACTGTTGTATGAGGAGATTTTCCTCTTTTAAAGTGGCGCCCCATTGTTGGTAGGAAGGCTTGGAGTGTTGTTTTGCTCCATTGGTGGCTTGGAAAGCATTCCTTGGGCCATTGTGGTGTGATTGGTGGTAAGAAACCCTCTCCTTTATGAATTTCCTTTGTTAAAGAGTAATTGAGGTTTAGTGTATGTTGTAAAATATACTAAGGATGATATTTAAACAGTGAAAATGTGTTTAGAAAATCCTTTGAGTCACCTTTCATATTTGTTAAATTATGTATGCTTGTTATCAAAAAAAAAAAAAAAAAATTATGTATGCTTATTTGTTGAAGTTGCCTGTGTCTCATGCAACGTAGCTTGGTTGGCTTGGATTGAATGTGTTCATGGTGTTTCTAGAATTGGAAACAAGAGGTTATTCAAATTTAAAGATCCACGCATAAAAAGTTTTTTAAAAAGTTAGAACACCTATTCACCCTCATTTATGTGTTTTGTAAATGTCCTTTAAAAGAAGCCACTTTAAAAGAAGCCACGTATAATTTTTATTTATTAGATATATGAGCTGCTAGAATACTAGATATAAAAAGATTAATGGTTAAAATTGAGGCTAAAATTTATTGTTTCTTACACACAGATGTAAGAATAACTTGTCCAAAACCATTTTTACATTGGTGTAAGAAATTTGTTATTTTTAGTGATTAAAATCAAATGTAAAATTTATTATTTCTTAATGGTTAATCCAATTCGAGTACATTCGAATTCATTATAGGTGACAGTTCTTCTAAGACCATTTTCTCCATTCTTACGATAATTAAAAGGAACAAGTTCCTTATCCCTTGAATTAATATTGTAAATATACATTTAAAATGTCAAACTTATCCTTTATGTATATATAAGATTGAAAACTTGTAATCTGTGATAATATTTTCTCTTATATTCCTCAAAACCATAACCTGTTTTGCTAAGTGGTAATTGTTACTATTAAAATTAAAAACTGGTACACAATGAAGCATTGGGGGTTATGGAAATTCGGCCAATTTTGGAAGGTATGAAGTATTAGTTACAGGTGGGTTTCTGGGAGAAGTTTGTTTGCTGGGGGTAATTGTATGTTGCTCAGTGATGTTCCGACGAAATGTGATGAGTTTGTTGTTTTATAGTGCTTTTATTCCTTTTGTGAAAGTACTTTAATGTAAGAGGTGACTAAAGTTGCTCTAGTTTAGTGGGCTTTCCATTTTGATGAGAATTTTTTTCAGTACAATCTTGATGAAAAGTTAACTTGAACTATCGTTTATGGGTTTGCTTTTTCATCAGCAGTGGATGTATTAATTTTTTTTAAGAAAAAATGTCAGGATATAATGTCATATCTTAATTAAAGGGAGAGTTATATTTATAAATTTTTTGTTTATAAACTCTTACAAACTAAACTATATTTTTCCGAGATAACAGTAGATTATACTATGTTCTCCCGAGAGAACATAGTGTAATTTATAAAAAAAAATTGTAAACGAATCATTCCCCTTCAATAAATGTGTCTGCTGTGAGAGAACTTTTTTTACAATAATATGAGAAGTATAATTGCTATCATCTATCACATTAATTTTAAAAGCATTTCACGAGTAATTTTAAATTTAAGTGAAAGAAAAAATATTTATTATTTTAAAGGACAATTATTTTGATTAAAACTAATATTTTTTAAAATTAAAATGAAAAAAAAAACCTATCACTTGCTCCAATCTTGATTTCTGTTACACGCCATAAAATATAATAATTTTGACTAAATGACACAATTCTATATTCTTCTAAAAGACAAACACTACTCCCTTAAGTGAAATATAAAAAAAAAATTACCAGAAAAAATGTTTCAAATTATAACAAAATTCATAAGTTGTTTAAGAGAATTTAAATTTAAAAATTAAAATGTCCTTTAAAAGAGAATATATTAAGAGATTTAATTACTCAAAAAGACTCTAATTTGGTATATAAAGTTGGATTAAAAACGCTTGCTCTTTCGTATAAAAAAAAAAACCACTAAAAAAAAAAGCTTGCTCTTTTTCTTTTTACTGTTTTTGATGTAATAGAATTTAAGGATACTCTGTTTCCAAATAAAGGAAGAAAAAAGAAAAGAAAAGAGATTGTTATTTCATAATAGAGTGCCAAAAGATCAGACTATATATAAATTAATCACAGGTTCAGAGGTAATTTAATTAAGGAAAAATGAACTCCTATATATTATAATTAATAAGCTTATATAGAACAATAACTAGAGTGTGAATCAATCCTACCTTACCTATTTTCCCTTACATACACAGATATATTTCCATATGTCAACTTTTATTGTTCTATATAAAAGGGAGGGTAAGAAAGGAAACTCACTTAATCCTGTTTGATTTGGGTGATATACACTCATGACACATCTAAATTACACTGTAAAAATTTTCCTTACTTTCTTCATATTCCTTCTGCATATTGGACAAGTGCTAGCTTCTGCAGCAATTCTGCAGAGGGACAATTGTAGGCAGTAAACTCAAGACTGATGTTATATACAAAACTCTCTTTACCAAAAGTTTTCAAACTAATGGCATTAAACTCAAGAAGCAGTGAAATTCATAATTATTTTCTTAAGATAAAATATTTTTTAAAATAAATTAATTCAAACACACATTTAAAAGTACGTGTTAAATGTTAATTGATACTTTTAAGGCGAATTTGTGGACAGAAAAAAAATTAAGAAGAAATGAAGGAACGGTGACCATTTTGTCACTGTTGGCAAAAAAAATTACCAGACTGTCACGTCAACAGTAAATTTTTCCAAAAATGTCACGTGTCAAACGGGGAGAATTTCGTTACACTGTGTAGCGAAATTCTCTCTGTTTGACACATGGCATATTTCGCTACACTGTGTAGCGAATTATTTGCACACATATTTCGCTACACAGTGTAGCGAAATATGCCACGTGACATTTTGACAAAATTTACTGTTGACGTGACAGTTTAGTAATTTTTTTTGCCAACGGCGGCACTTTGGTCACTGTTCCACAAATGAAAGAGTGAGTGTGTTACCTTGTTCCACATGCAAAGCATGCTGCACAATGTCCACAAGGGAGAAAGAAGCAATCCTTAGGAGCATCAAAGCAAATAACACACAAATGCTGGAGACTATTGCTAGTTTCCCCTTCCATTACTGGCTTTCCTTCATCAGCATTCAATGCAAGCCTTACTTTGAGATCCTCTTCTTCATTAGAGAAAGATTCATAAGATGAACCCCAGCTTGAAAGATCATCATCTTTACTATTTAGCAGTGGAGTTCGTTCTGAAACCACTTCCACTTGTTGTAATCCTCCATTTTCTTCCCTATTAGTTTGTAACATTTTGCAGAATCTCATAGCAAACAACAGTAGCACAGCTATCACACCTGTATTAATTACATAGTGCACATTTCAAAAATTGAGTCCTTTCATGACTTTTTGTCAAGTTCTTTTGACAAATAAGAAGTTCCTAAAAGCTTATGTTACCTGATACTGTGAAAAATATGATCCATCTTGGTTCATAAGACACTTTCACATCAAACCATTCTTCTTCATTTGAATTGGAAACACCCTGAAAGATAGACCAATTACATATGTTGAGACCACCATATATAGGACATGCTAATATTTATATTAGGGAAATGCTATAAAAAACAACTAATGTGTATAACCATTGGATTACTTGTGAATTTGTGCTGAAGAGTTTTGATGTGGAAACAAAGTCAATGATAAATTGTATTTATAAAATCTTATCCTAATATAACATCTTTGATCATGATTATAAAAGTAAGTAAGTAGATAAATTTACCTCTCTAGGACCTGGAGTTGTTAATACTGCAGTGCTTGACTCCGAAAGAAAAAGGTTTAATCTGCATAAGCCGTTATCCAGGGAACATCTGTGGTATGTGTTGGTTGTATTGTAGAGAAGTGCATTTACAGTGAAGTTCAATTCTACCTGCACATAGCAATAACATTGCAATAAAAATAACTTTCATATTTTTAAGAGAAAAGCAAACCCATCAAGTGAAAAGAGGCAAACTATGAGGTTCTATCTGCTTCCAATTAACATGACAAACACATTCTTGGTATTGATTTATTGATGTAGATTCAAAATGTGCTCCCCTTGAAGGATGCAGTAATTACATATAGTTGAAGATTAATCTTTTATGTAGAAATTGTTGAAACTATCTTCTAACTGCTTGTGGAGTATACAAACATAAAGTACTATAATTACTAATAGGACAACTTTTCAAGAATAGTATGCAACTAAAAAGTGGCCAAAGCACATATACCTTACTATAGTACTTCATAATTAAGAGATATTTATCCATCTTATGCTGTAATAGTTACAACATGTCCATATGAAGTTGAATGAAGAATATGAATATATATTTTATCACAGTACTAATTGTTTGATACATCACCTCCACATTTTCAGGGTTCATATTGCAAACTGCCACATAATAATTATGTGAATGTGACATTTTTTTTGTGATCCTGCCGCTTCCTGTAAGTCAAATTAAATAAACAAATGTGGATGATAACGTCAGATCAAAGAAAAAGAATGGAGCAGATTAACGCAATTTACCCAAGTGAGATATACCATAGATAGTATTCCAGTAAAATGTTGCATTAGGGATTGATGGGTTCTCTATCCATTCAACAAGGTCTTCTCTACCTGTGTGTTTATGTAATATTAGTATGCATAGTATGCATGCAAAAAGATATGTAATTAAACGTTAAATAACCATCCTAAATTAGGTGTAGAAAAATAGGCTAGCACTGCATTATCATGGAGGAATCCATTAAGCATATATTGGTTAGGATTCCCAACTTAAGATTCTATGAAGTTCAGGAAACCGTGAAAGTTTTGTCAGAGTTTTCTGACACAATTATCTTGAGAAATGACAAGAAAGATGTAAAACTGTGAATTCCATGGTTGTATTTGAACTGAAAAAGGAAGAAGGAAATTCACATTTGTTCCAAAAACAGTAGTTATAAAACAATAATGCAAACAGTCAAGATGTATAAAATTGTATAAAATTGTTGATGTGAACCTTTCAATCTAGAGTAGGAAAAATTGAATTGTAACTTGATCTGAATCAAAAAGTAGAAAAGTACCTTTAGAAATCACGAGAAATAAAGCTGCTGGGGACTTAACACTGTAAAGAACATCCAATTGGGAGTCCTTGTTCAGGTAGAATATCCATTCCTACATCAAATAAAATGCAGTTCTACCCCCATTAAATGGAGTATCAAGGATGTTATATTGCATAAGAATAGCAAGATTATAAAGTGTAAGAACACATAAACCTGTAAAGCCAAACTTTTAGACTAAAACACCAAAAACAGAAAGAGCCTACAAAAGGGGAACATGCCTTTTGAAATTTTGCTGGTATTGATGCATTATACATCTCAGTCCAATTGATTTTGACATCTAGTGGAGGGGGTTTATCAAATCCATATAGCAGTAGACCAGGTTTTGGCTTATCAATTTGTTCCACCTGTTAATGAATCATAGAAAATTGTTACAGAAGAACAACAGCACCAGAAGCAACAAAAGGAGTACATTAGTTGAAAAAACAAGGTACAAAGAAATCGCTTAATCACCTTGACAGACTGAACTAATACTGAGTTGATATCTATCAAACGTGAGCAGTAGGGTCCCAATTGTAAACTTACAGATCCGCAGATACCAAGTGCAAGAGTAACGGATGCTACTTGTAAGAAAGAGAGAAAAATAAATAAATAATTCATACACAACATGGTTATCAAATTTCCTATTTCATTATATAAAATCAACATATTATAAGAATCTGAAGTTATGAACAGAATAAACTGGTTAATCAACACTAGCATAACATGTTCAAAATAATGAATAAGTAATTTTTTTTCTATCTTCTAATGTTTTACTAGTACCCTTTTGCTAAATTTGAGTCTAGAAAATAGTCTCTTTACAAAAGTATAAAGATAATGTTAGAGAATAATATAAATAATTAAAAAGGTTCTCATCCAACAGCTTAAGCTTTTGGTTAAATTGTTTTTTTACATGGTATTGGAATTGTAATGACCATGAGGTCACAACTCACGAAAAATTGGGCGTGTACAATATTCACGCTCAAGTCCTTTATGTGACGGGGTGTGTTAAAGAATAATATAAACCATTAAAAAGGCTCTCTTTACACTTACCCCTACCATCGCAAAGTCGGGGAGCCCTATGCTCTAGAATTTGCCCTTACCCCTTTTGAAACTTTACCAAAAAACATAATTAAGATATCTGCAAACAATCTCATACTAGAAGAACAAGTAGTGAAGCTCATCATGAACTAACCAATGATCCAAAATGTCGCTAGCACAACCATGCAGTACCAGACATCATCCTTCATGGCAGTCCTCGACGGATTTGTGATTGAAATGTTGACCCAATAAGACCTGCTAGCCGGTTGTTGCTGGTGCTGATGGTTGTGTTGGTTGTTCTCATTTGCACCTGCTTGGTTAGCTTCATCTGCTTGCAACTGTGAAGTAGAAGGAGAAGAGGAGGAAGATGGATTCTCAGGAGGGGCAGCAGTTAAAGAAGAAGAAGAAGGTGCTGATACATGAGAGTTATGACATGGTTGATCTTCCATTCTTCAATGATGTAGTTTCAAACTGATTCATAAGAGAGATGAAAACCGAAAAAGGATAATACTAATATATATAATTATTTGAATTTCTCTTCTTGTTAGCAACATGAAAGCAAAATATGATACTTGTTTGTAAAAAAAATCTCTCTGAAGATTATGGAATGATTCTAATGAATTCATTGGAATTGCAAAATGCGATTGTAAAGTAAGGTAAATTTGGATATATGTGTGTAACCAACAAGAAGTCTTATTATGCACTATGAACATCTTATGTTAATTGTGACTGGTAGCTGAGACAAGTGAAAGTTAGATGGAATCTCAATTTTTTAATCAATTAATAATAAGACCATTACCTTTTCAAGTCTTGGGATGTTTATCTATCAAGTATAGTTAGATGGAAAATCAATTTGTTCTTTTGCTTTCCTTTTCTAAATTATATGCATTTTTTCTTGTTCAGTGCGAGATCAATTCTCATTCATTGTTCTACTCTTACAAATTGATTTTAAGTTATATTAATGAATATTATCATGTTAATAAATAACAGGGACGATTATCTTACAAATTTTTTATTTTTAAACTCTTACAAATTACGTTATGTATTTCAAGGAATACATTTATTTAAGAATGTATTTTCCGAAATACATAGTGTAATTTGTAAAAATTTATAAACTAAAAGTTTGTAATATCCTGTTAATGATATAAGACTTCTTTTTGACACACATTCTTTGGTCTTTTCCTTGATTTTCTCCCTAATCTGATTTCTACTTAGATTTTTTTCTCATCCGAATTTTCCTTATCTAATATCTCTTACTTCACAATATTAATATAATTTTTTTTTCATTATCACCTAATTATTTGTTGTTACATTATTAAAAATATATTTACCTCTCCTGCCCTAACTCAGTTTGGTAACTTAAAAATAAATGATTAAATAATTTAAAATGTTTTCCCATTCCAACAATCAAAGATGAATTCTTAAAATTTTAAAATGCATATTTTAGTGTTTTTTTTTAAAAATAAAAATACAAACAGATTATTGCGGCATTTATATTATTATAAAAACAGTTTATATATATGTGGGAAAGCAATGTGAAAAGAAAAAAGAGAAAAATAAATAAATAAATCCACACACTTTTATATATATAAAAAATGGGAAGAATAAATCTTATGTCGTAAGAAAATTTTAATCTCATGTCATAAATACATCAAGTGTGAGACTCACTTATTTAAAAAAAAAAGTGAGACGCCTTTTTATATGATATGTGTAGGAAGAGTTTGTTTTCTCATGTAACACGAGAAAAACAAACTCCATAAAAAATTTAACTCAAACACATTAAATCCATATATATATATATGGGAAGTCTTTTTCTTATGTTGTTGGAGATGAATTATCTTATGTTAGTGAAACAAAATTATAAGAGAGACTCATAAATGATTGAAGATAAAAAAATAAAGGTGAGATTCATCTTTATTATATGTGTGTAAAAATATGAGTTATCAAATTGAATAAGATAAATATAACTATTTTCGATTTTAGAGAATAATTAATTAGATGAAATAATAGTAGTGATAGCCCAAAACTGGAAGAGAGTTTACAAATACCACGCGTCGAACATCCATTGGTCCAAATGACAAACTAAGAGTTCCCATATAAAATGACACAGTCTCATCACACTCGAAGTCTAGCGGCGAAACTGAGATCATAGAACAAAGAAGGAAGGAAACAGATGGCAAAAACGACGTCGTTGCTGCTCTGTACACTGCTCCTCTTAGGAACCCTAGCTCTCACCCAGGTTCCCTCTCGGTTTCCCTATTCAAAACTTTTTATTTAATTTGTGCTTATGATCTGATCTTCGTTTGTTAATCCTTTTGAGATCATGGAATTGGTCAATAATTGAGCTTGAGATCGATGTTCATTTCACTATTTTTTTCATTGGAAAAATCTATTATATTTTGTTGATTTTGAAAGAAAATCTTCCGAGTGATAGAATTGGTTTGGATTGCAATTGGGTTTGGCACAAAATTTATTTTTTTTCCCTTTTTTATTTTATTTTTTTAATTTTGTGGCCAATGTCTTGGTTTACAGGCAAAGAAGTCAAAGGAGGATTTGAAGGAAGTGACCCACAAAGTTTACTTTGATGTTGAGATTGATGGAGAAGCTGCAGGTCTTTAAGCCTAACTCCTCGTTATGCCTTTTTGTCTATATTTTGCTTTGCTTGATATGGTTTTAAAATGAGTTGAAAGATGAAATCATCTTTTCCTTTTTTCTTTTTTGTATTGGATTTTGTCATAAAATAATCTTCTAAAATTCTAATTGAGTAATGCTACACATACAATTTCACACAAATCACTTCCCATTAACCAAATGTCAAGCTTATTTAACCAACAATCTACCTATAAATTATAATTAACCAAGGGATTTGTGATGTAATATAGGTCGTTTAGTGGTTAATAATAGGTAAATTATTGGTTTAAATAAATTTGATATGTGGTTCATGGATGTGATTTGAAGGTATGTGAGTGGAACTGGATGTGATTATCAGAATTCTCTATTTTTCTTTATATGTTAGTTTGGTAGGTAGAGTCAGTCTTGGGAGAACTTATCTCGGCTGGGGAGTTGGTAGGTGAACACTACCATTTTGTTAGAAGTATGGTTGATAGATAAGTCGTTGTTTCATTATTATTTTTTTCTGGAATTTTGGTATCAAAATTTTGACCTTTGGTATTTTTGCTGTGATCATTGACTTCCAGGTCGTGTTGTGATTGGTCTTTTTGGGAAGACAGTTCCAAAAACTGCAGGTTGGGTTTTCAAATTCTCTACATTTTGCTGCATATCATCATTAACATTAGCTGAAGCTTTGTTTTGATTTTCCTTTTTGCAGAAAACTTTCGAGCTCTGTGCACAGGTGAGCTTGTTTCTGCTGCTTCTGTGTATTGTTTTTAGTATATAATCAGAGAACTTGTTTCAATGCTTTTCTATGGATTTCATCTTCAGCTGTGTTACAGAAATAAGTGACTAAATCGATTCATTAATGAAAGAACTGATGAGTAACAGTTGGCCTGTAATTAGACCGCACTACTTACGAGAACTAATTGAGGACAGATGTATAAGGACATAATAAGTTCTTAAGGTGGATTATGTGTTGTTCGCTTGTTTCATTTCACTGATATTTGAATCTAATAGCATTTCATCCTCCCTTGCTTAATAACATTGAACAAAGATATAATTTTTTGAAAATGTGAGGTGCTTGTGTTCATCCTACAAATTAAAATATATAATCTAAAAAATTTTATATTTGTACTTTTGTCTGGTCCAATCCAAATTATTAGGGGAGAAGGGAACTGGTAAAAGTGGAAAGCCTCTTCACTACAAAGGTAGCACATTCCATAGAATTATACCTAGCTTTATGATCCAAGGAGGTGATTTTACTCATGGCAACGGGATGGGTGGAGAATCAATTTATGGAGAGAAGTTTGCTGATGAGAATTTCAAGTTAAAGCATACTGGACCAGGTAATATTGTTTCTTCTATTTTTCTCTTTAATTGTTTTAGATGTTTATGTTAATCATAAATTCAAATGAATCTATGATCTAATTAATTTTTTTTTTCCTGTATGAACAGGATTTCTATCAATGGCAAACGCTGGTCCTGATACCAATGGCTCACAATTTTTCATTACGACTGTGACAACAAGCTGGTAATTATATCTAGATCAATAACTTATTGCAGAAGAAAACAAATATCAAAATGTTATGTTCTACTGCTTGCAGTTTCGTTTTTCTCATTATATTAAAGCATATCTGTAGTTAATGAAATATTTTATTCTGCTATGATCTCATGACATTCATCAATTTGTAGGGCCTATATTTCCTGTAACCATTATGCAGAGTGTGTAATGTGATTTAAGATATACGAACGAGTTTCTTTTGTATTTCATTAGTCACTTGTGATTCATTCTGCAGTGTTGCCATGCATTAAGAAACAACTAATTAATGCATATATCTGTTTGATAGGTTGGATGGAAAGCATGTTGTTTTTGGAAAGGTGCTTTCTGGAATGGATGTTATTTACAAGATTGAAGCTGAAGGAAAGCAAAGTGGCACTCCCAAGAGCAAGGTTGTGATTGCTGACAGTGGTGAACTACCTCTCTGAAATATAGATGCACTTCTCAATTCTCAAGGTTGTGATCGAGTTTTCATTTCCAATCCATCAACGAGACTACTTATGTTTTATAAGCACGTACTTATAGATCAACGGTTAATTTGTGATACTCGGTAGATGCTTGCCTCTAATGAGAAGACAAAAGATGGCATTTATGAACATGAAATTTGTAGACTGAAATCTAAGTGAACATGCAATCGGAGATAAGCTGCAGCACTTAATTTGGAGTTTGTTGAGCTAGATAAAACTGACATTGCATCAAATTTATATATAGGGACAGGATATTCTTACACCGGTGTAAGAGTTAGAAGTCTTGCACTCAATCTTGACTATTGATCCATTTGTATCCAATGACTCACATTACTAAAAAATTTGAACCCTTAGATATAAGTGGGATCAGTGGACAAGATTGAGAGTGTAACATACATTGGTGTAAAATGATCCTGACCCATATATATATATAATATATATGGGATTAATATTTCTTATGTTGTAAGAGATAAAATTATCTCTTACACACACATAAAAGTGTGTGAAATCTATGTGAGGCTATGTGAAAAGAAGAGAAAAAAAATGGATTTCACATATTTTTATGTGTGTAAAATATGAAATTATCTCTAACAATATAAGAAACATTAATCTCTATATGGGATTATATTAATCTTTATTATTATAATTTTTTTCTTCCTACCTCAAAATGATATTATTTTGAATTTACGGGAGATAATTTTATCTCCAAAAGGAACATAAAATTGAATTAGAATTCATATGTTATGTTTTATCTCATTTTAATGCGTATACTAAATGCTACCTTTGATTTAATTAAACATAAATTAGTGTCCCCTGAATAGGTATCTACAGTTGTCATTTGCAAGATCTGTGTAAAATCCATTTGTAGGCCTATGTCGGGGATCAAATATTAAAGTACATTTAATTTAGATAAATTATCTATATTCACTCTTAAAAAATAATGTTGTTTTGGGTTGAAAAATTAAGAAATTATAATTAAAATCACTATTATAACTTTAAAATAAATTATAATTATAAAAAATCTTAATTCCAGTCTCAAAATAACATTATTTTGAGTTTAATGTAGATAATTTATTCACATTGACAATAGAATAAAATGAATCCAACATTAAATACATTATGCATAAATTTATCGGTTATGGTGATCTCAGTCAAACAAATCAAAATTACTTTATGTTTCATTATATATATATATATATAGAAAAATGTTTGTCCTTTTAAATGACGTAATTTCTGTTATTTCACTCTCACAAAAGATGAGATTTACACCTTTTTTTTTTTTTGTGTACTCTCTCTCTTCCATGATGTATCTTTTTCTCTAACTTAAAAGTATGCAACTTTACATCCTTTAAAATTTAAAATGATAGACAATTTTTCCTTACATATATAATCTTAAGTGCTTGGGTATGTGAACTATGCTCCCAGGAGAATACAAATTTAGAGTCATTGAGATATCATTTGAGAAGAGTGTTTAATTGTACTGTTCCATATTCAAAAGAATTAGTTTCACACCCAAAAAATTGTGAGAATGTCCCAGTAATCCTTAAAAATAAAAATGTCAATGAAATATGATTGGTTCAAGTTACCTCTATTAATTAAGAAGTGAGCGAAGGTAGCTTCTCCATATATTGCCGATGCGTAGACAATGGTGCAGGGTGGAACAAGGGAAGGATTAGTATAGCGGTTGTCCTTTCCGAATTTTTAAATTTTTTTTAATTATATTACGTACAAAATATTATTTATTAATAATAATAGATTATTAGTATTAATAGTTTACCCCTTTCAAAAAACTATTTATAATAATTAATATTTCCTATTAATCTTAATAATATTTATAGTTTTAGAATTTTATTTTTATTCTTTATTATAAAAAATTCTAAATCCATCCCTACAATCATAGTATGTATGCAATGACTTCAACGCTTAAGTTAGTATATCATTAATTTTAACTTGAATGAATGAGAATGTATACCAAACAGCTTGAACCTTTCTAACCTTTCTATTTATATATTTGGAGGCTCGTGTGATAGGATCCTTTGAGCCAGCCAACGTCCATGTCAACAAGCAAGCCAGTGTGCGTAATTATCAACTTCAGCACATAATTTCTTTTTAAAAATATGGAGAAATTAATAGAAAAAAAAATGAAAATTAAATACCATCTTTACATATTCATCTATGTACAATACTGAGAGCATCTCAAGTCACTACTAGCCTGCTCTGGGAATGCAATTATGGCTCAAACTTAGAATAGAGCTATAGGTTCTACATGATATGATACACCCAAAACGTGCCAAGTTCAAATGTCCTTACCAGTTAAGGAACAAGGAACTTGGCTAACAAAATAGGCATCGAATTTACATGTCAATGTCAGAGCTCTAATTTATATATATATTATTTCCAGGTTTACTAATCTAATTTTGGTACAACAAGCTGATAATAAGGCTACAGTTAGCTTATTCGACATGCTTAATCAATTGCTATCACTATCACTGTCAGTGTCCAGAAAGCTAAACTCTCTCCATCCGTTGAGTTTGATCAATACAGTTCCCCTGTTCTCTTCACTCCATTCAATTGCCTCTTTCTTTAAAAGGCTTATAACCTGTATTAAGCAAATGATAAGGAACCACCATTTAGAAACTGTTAAAGAACCTTGGGATACACCACCCCAAAAGCTAGCTCAAAGGGTGGGAGTACCCAAGGCCATATAAACTCCACATTAGTTGCTCTTCAACTAATGTGGAACTATATATCTCAACATGCCCCCTCACACGAGAGCCCTCTTGGCTTGAAGCGTGGATTATGCAACAGGCCCAATCTTTGGTTTACCTTTTGTGCTTCCACTTTAAAGTGGGGGGCGGTGAGGATCGAACCTCAAGCTCTGATACCATGTTAAAGAACCTTGGGATACACCATCCCAAAAGCTAGCTTAAAGGGTGAGAGTACCCAAGGCCATATAAACTCCACATTAGTTGCTCTTCAACCAATGTGGAACTATATATCTCAACAGAAACATTTTTTTGTCTCTTCAAAGACACATTGACACTATGATCAGGAATTTCTAGGATTTAAACAAGAAGAAATAATTCAGAATTTAACAACCAAGTTTGAAAATTTAAGCCAACTTGTATATACATTGAACAATAGTGTTCAATGTATCTCAGACCATAAAAAAACTGGATAGAAGTGGATGGATTAAAAACCATACTGATTGTTTCAGCTTCGACTTTCCAACACCATGCGATCCACATCCTGTGATAACCCTTAGTGTCTGGACAGCTGAAAATGTGAAATGCAAATGAAATTCAATATTACAATGCCATTTTTAATATAACGTCACAAGAAAATGTGAGAACCTAGATCCTCAGAAAATGCTTACAGGGAATATATGATCCAAACAGAAGGTGAAGTTTCAGCATTCTCATTGCTGGTTTTACGTGCTGCCCATGCAAATCAATAGTTATCACATTTTCTATACCCTTGTTTCTGCATATCACTAACAATAGCTTAATACAAGCAATAATAATACATAAGGCAAATGTGCAAAAGGAAGTTCTCCAGTTTTGGACTTTAAAGAAATACACCAACCTAGCTACAAATATGTCATGGCTTGCCTTAGTGTCCGCTTTCTGAGCTAATTTAGTTTGTTCTTTACCCTAGCCGGATATAGAAATAGTTAGCATGATAGAACAACGTGGCCCATGCTAAAGGATCTGACAAAATACAGGTAGTCTACGTGCAAAACACCACATAGTAAACGTAGTCCACGTCGCACCCAAAACCATTAAACAGAAAACATTATTGAAAATGTTATTTTTTTATATAACAACCGACCTTGAAAAGGAATGAACAAGACAGTCATATTTTGATCTCATTTCCACATTACCAAGCAAATACTTTACAACTTCAGGAGCATAAAAAGGGAGAAAGAAACCAATATACAGAGGAAAGGAGAAAGCATTGGTTTTAAAAATTCAGATGAAACCTTACTAAGACAGACCAACATTTAGAAAATAACCAGTATAATTTTTTTATCTTTATTTATTTATTGAATCAAACCACTTCAAGCTATATCATAGAAGATAAAGAAGACAATATAATAGTTACATAAAAGATAATTATAAAAACCATCCCAATGATCGGGTGCAAAAAAAGTGTCTCATGTTTTTAAACACAATTCCATTGTTCTTCCAAAAGAAGAATGAACCTGGTCAGAAAGAAAGGCAGCATATGCTCGATCTCCTTTGGTATATGCTGTTGCAGCCTGCAAAATTATGTCAGCCTTTCATGTTCTCAACTGATATCTGAACTCTACAACAAACTAGCTTAAAGATCTGAAAGTTAAAATAATCCTAGGAAAAGGCCAAATGTGAAATTATACTTACTTTTTGATAATAAGATTTCACCGAATCCCATTCTTGCTTAGCATCTTCCCTAAACACGTGATATTCATCTCCTTTAGCTACAAAACAGTAAAACGAAAGAAGTAAATGATCTGTCAAGGTTCGATACCATACCATCAAGGAAATCATCAAATTCAAGCATACAAAAAGAAAGATAATCCAAACTATTCCGAAGATTGAAGTACATGAACTGTTATGATTGGACAGCTTTGAACTTCTCTTTTCCTCTCATATTTTGGAGAATAAGAAACTTTATTAGATAAGCCACCAACGAGTAGCGATTTGAACTAGTCGAGGTTGCTAGGACAATTTTAAACATGTAGTCTGATAACTAGTTAATTTTAACAAAAAGCATTACTTCTTTATAACTACAATGTGCTAATTTTTACTTATTTCCTAATTTAATGTTTTGATTTCTTATTTTCTTTCCCATTTGCCAATTTTTCCTCCAGTTTGATTGGCATATTTTAGTTTTTAGGAAGTAATTTATTTCCTACTTCACTCAATATTAATTCCTAAATTTTACAGAAGCAAACCATTGAATACAACACAGCACAAGCATTGCTTGTGGTGCTCCCACTGATCGAAAGGATCAAAGACCAAGCAATGAAAATATATCTGAGAAAACCCCATCCCACATCTTATGGCCATATTCAACAAGATCCAGCCTTTTCCTGTTAGATCCAACCTGTTCTAGCCAGCTCTACCAACACCGACAAAGTAAAAAAAGGTAATCTTGCCAAAAATGCATGATGTATCCTCCTTGCCCTGAATCAAGTGGCATAGGAGGGCAAGCCACCCAGCCACACCATCTAGGCAGGTGACTAAAACATCTTTGACTCCATTAAGCTTTAAATAGAGTGAATTGCAAGCCCACATATTCAGTAAAACCACTGACAAGGTCCCATTTCAAATCATGAAAACTGAAGCAGAAGGAGAAATGAGCATGAAACCAGTTCATAAAAATACCACATTTGCAATTACTGAAGATTTGAGTATCAGACAACTATTGTTGAATAATAAAATGAAACCACAAAGGCACAAATCAATGAATATTTTTTTAGAAGAGCATATAGATGAAAGCAAAAGGATGTCAAAATTGCCATTAAGTACCATTAGTATTCTGCTGAGACTCTGCAACATGTGGACAAGCATCAAACCCAGGTCCCAAAAACTGCATTTTCTTTACTACATTTCTCCAATTCATGGTACCTTTGTCACGTTCAGAGCTTTTGGGAATGTTAAACAAAGATTCCAACACCTTTTGAGAAAGATCAGACTTTGTACATCCTGGTCTAATAGGAGAATTAACTTTAGAGCTTGAGAGGACCTCTGCATAATTCCTAAAACCAAGCAACAACTAAGCTAGTGGAGTTAGGTACCAAATACTAAGATCCTTGATTAAGAGGAAGTTAATATTCAAATGTAGGATGGTATAAAGAAACAGGCAATCCGAAATTAAAAATAATACTTTCCCTACTTTCCCTTATATTATTATTATTATTATTTATACAATGATGATACTGTGGTTTGAACATATAAAAACATGCAAATAATCAACGCCCCTCACCACAAGCCCAATCTCAGTAATTTTATTTGTACAAAAGTGTGTAGAAAAGTTATGTGTACTTTTTTGTATTATAAAGGGTATAACCCCGGGCTTGCGCTAAAGATTATAGCTCAAGATCAAGTAATATGGCGGAGTAAGAAAATTTGGTGGAAGGGGCCAAAATTGCAAGTGTAATATTCCTTGTAAGTTATAATTATCTATATGAGCAAAAGAATCGAGATAACGCTCACAATTAAAGACTTGCATGAAGTTGAAGAAAGAGGAGAAGGGGGGGGGGAGGCAATCACTATCTATATGACTAAAAACAACATAAATGACACCTCACAACTAAAGCAATATATAAATTTGAAAGTGGGCAACTGGCCTCCCTAGCCCCTCCCTCACTCCACCACTAGGTTCAAGATCAAGTTTGCCACAATTTAATACAAGGAGTTTAGGATGATAACGTTTGGCTCACTCGGCTTAATTACAACCCTAGTAGATATGAGTCATATGACTATAATCAATTCCTTCATTACTGAGGATTTCAACCAAATGAATGTATCCCGAGTAGTTCTTGAAACTTATAGGATGTATATGTAAATGTAAAAATATAATCTAAATATTATGCACCAAGACATCCACTGACAGTATTCAATTGCCAACTCAAATTTCCACCCTTCATAATTTTTTTCACCAGGCTACTTTCACAGCTTAGTAGTTAATACCATAATGACTAAAAGGAGAAAAACATGTTGTTTCCAGCACTGTTAGATCCACTACCAAAATTGTTTCCTTTTTTTGGTACGAAGGTGGGGTGAGGGAGAAAAAATGGGAAGACGGCCATAATTTATCAACACAGTACAATGAACTGGCAGCATAATAAATACATTAATGTATTTTACCTGCCAAAAGATCCCAGAGACCAGAAATTATCAGAAAGTTCACCTTCCGATGAAAGAGATGTGCATTCTGATCTCCTATCTATCAACTGTTACAAAATTTGACAATTAATAATATGTCCAGTAAAGACGCATATAGTGAAGAAGTTAAACATACCTCCAAAATCAACAGTCTTCTAACAATGTAGAGAAGAATAGACAAATAATATAAAATTATTTGCTGAAAGATATAATTCCAGTAACTTAAAGCACATGACTGAGTTTTTCAGAAGATAACACATGACCGGTTCAATGATAAAACAAATAAATTTGAAAATAGTGGTTAACAACATTCTATGTTGCCACTTACACTGTCATTGTGGTCAACAAGGAATCTCATATCATCTATATTGTCTACTCCGTAATCAGGATGTCTATCATTACTGGATTGCTCATTCATGGGCGCAGCTAAATCAAGCAATACATCCAAGGCCTGGAAAATCATATTCACAGCTAAACATATTACAAAAGTATCATAACTTTAGTTGATTAGTATAGCACTCTAAAACACCTGTAGAACTGCAAAAGAAGTTACAGCAACACCGTTGCTATCCATTTGCATTAAAATATGTACATGAAATTAAAAAGTACAACCAAATAGCCATATGTAATAATTACCAATGAACGCAAAAACAAATAGCAGTGCCACACAATACAAGCACATAAAGCAGCCATATAAGGAAGAAAAGCAAGACAATGTAAGGGAGTGTTTGGTTTGTTTTCTTGTTTTCAATTTCCATTGATATGTTTTCATTATATTCACAAAAATGTCACTTAGTAAAAAGATATGTGGAGAGTAGCAAGATTCAACAGTAGCATTTGTGTGGCACCAAATGAAGCAGTGAGGTAAGAAGAAAATTGTTGTTCCACTAATCATAGTTCCATAACAAGGATAAATTGACACCAAAATATTGTCTCCCAACTCATATTCAGTCAATGAAATCAATAACATGATTTTTGTATTAAAGAAGGCTTTATTAGGAGAAAATAGGAATGTAAAACAGCATCCACCTAAGGCAAAGAAAAAAACAAAGTACTCTAATCAACCTACATATTCCATATAGAGGACCCTGGAAACAAAACCCCACAAAGAACCAGGGAAAACCATCCGCTTGAAACATATGCCCCACAAATCACCCAAAAAAGCACAAACAAAAATTAACTGTTTTTGTACACAAAGTCACAAATGACAATTAACTGATTAAAAACGATGAGCACAATATTGAGAATAATATATTGTTTAAGCACTCCAATGCTAGATCACGTGAGAATTATGAGTAAGGGGTAGAAGAGGGATTTGGGTTGTAACAACCTGCATATGTAGCAAGAAAGTGGGAAGGGGAAACAGTTAGAAGCAAAGATAAAAAGGATGGAAAGGTAGAGGAGAGGACATCCAGTCATTCAGTGCGTTTTACTGCAGGGCCGGGAGGTTTGCAGATCCTCAAAGTTCTGTACAATTCCATCTTTTGTTTTCTTATTTTGTAAGTGATTTTGATCTTTGTAACTAGGTGTTTTATTACAGAGAAATAGACATAAACCCCAACCACAAAGATCAAAATCACTCACAAAACAAGAAAACAAAAGACACTCACAAAACCAGAAAACAAAAGATAAAACAATGGAGAACTCTGACAAAGGCCCTAAAACTCACACAATGACCGGAAGTCCTCTCCCCTACCTTTCCCTCCTTTTTATTTTTGCTTCTAGCCATTTCCCCTTCCTTCCCACATGGGCAAGGTTGTTACAACCCAAATACCTTTTTTTTTTTTTTTTTTTTTTGTACATGTTAGAATAGTACGTTAAAGTAGTACAGCGTATATAATAGAATATTCTAACATCTTATACATGATAGATTAGTTTATGTACTTGTTAATATATATATATATTCCCTGTGCGCTCGTATGACACACAATTATCCAATCTCAAATTGGTAGCAGAGCTCTTTGTTCTGAGAACTTTCACTTCCGCTAAAACCCTAAGACCACTGTTTAGGTGTGCCAAAACCCCAAGCCCACTGCTTAGGTGTTCTCTCCTTCCTTGTCGTGTCCCTCCGGTTTGCAACTGTTAGAACCACCGTCCGCCTCCAGCATCACTGTTCACGGCTAGATTTACTGTTCATCGCCGGAAACACTGTACCAGCATCCTTTTCGGGTCGTTTCAGGACAGAACTGCACGGTTTTGTCTCTTCCTTCCAAATCTGCTCTTGGTTCTTCGTGTGTCTCTTGTTTGACGCGTGTTTCTTCTTGTTTAGCTATCGGTTTGATTCTATTTGCTTTGTTTTGCAAGTTTTTATTGCATTCATAATGGCATAATCATCTCCTGTTCACACAAAGTAAGAGGAACGTTGTTACACGAAGTATCCTCACCTGCGACCCTCTCATGCTACGAATATATCTCAGTCAGATACTGCTTCATTTGCTTTAGTCTCTCTCACTCCTGCAGACTATGCAGCACTCCAGACTCTTCTCAGCAAGGCTTCTCTTCAACCTCAATCTTCTACTCCAGATACTGGTAATCCTATTGCTTGTGTTTCTCATTTACATCACTTGGTCCTTGGATATTTGACTTCGATGCTATCGATCACCTCTATGGTAATAGGGAACTCTTAAAATCTCTTACTTATTCTGGCCATTTACCTTCCTTTACCCTTACTGATGGCACTAAAGCCCCTGTTCGTAGGATTGGACAAGCTCATCCAACCTCTTTATTGACCTTGACATCTGTCTATTATATTCCTGGCATCCCTTATAACTTAATTTCTGTTAGTAAATCGGTCCACTCCTTTACTTGCATTATTAGCTTTTCTAACCATTCTGTTTCTGTGCAGGATCCGGGTACGGAGAAGACGATTGGAGTGGGCCGTGAGTCACGAGGTCTTTACTATTTGGTTGTGCCTCGTCCTTCAGTGGCAAGCTCTCTCACAGAATCTCGACAACTTGTCCGCAGTCGCCTCGATCATCCAAGTCTTTCAAAATTGTAGAAGATGGTTCCTCTTTTATCTGGTCTTCAGTCTTTAGGTTGTCTATCATATCAGTAAGGGAAGCACACATTCTCCTCCTTTGTCAGTCGAGTCAATAAATGAGTTGATGCTCCTTTATCTCCTATTCATTCAGATATTTGGGGTTCAAGTCGTACTTTATCTGTTTTAGGCTTTCGATATTTTGTTACGTTTATTGATGATTATTCCCGTTGTACCTTGATTTATTTAATGAAAAATCGTTACGAGTTATTCTCCATTTATAAAAGGTTTTCTGCTGAGGTTCATACTCAATATGGTGTCTCTATTTGTATTTTACGTAGTGATAATGCTAAGAAATATGTTTTTTTTTTTACTTTTCTAATTTTTTGGCTACACAAGGTACATTACACCAGACTACTTGTCCTCGCACTCCATAACAAAATGGGGTGGCCGAACGTAAAAACAAACATCTCATTGAAACTACCCGAACTCTTCTTATTCACATGCATGTTCCTCTTCACTTCTGGGTAGATGCAGTACTCGCCTCTTGTTTTCTCATCAACCGTATGCCTTCCTCTGTGCTTAACAATAACATTCCCCATAACCTATTGTTTCCGGATGTTCCTCTCTATCCTTTATCTCCACATGTCTTTGGTTGTACCTGTTTTATTCATGATCTCACTCCTGGTAAGGACAAGTTAACATCCAAAGTCTTTAAATGTATTTTTCTTGGTTATTCTCCTAATCTTAAGCGTTACATTGTTTCCGCTGATGTCACTTTTTTTATCAACAACCCTTTCATTCTATCCCATCTCAGTTGTCACAGGTTAATCAAGTTTTTCCTGTTCCTTTTCTTGACTTGTCTTTATCAGCTGCAGGTTGTTGGGCTTCCTCCTTCAATGCTAAGCCCAAGCCCATTGAGGGGTTTTCTAAAAACCCTAATCCTAGATCTCACCTCCTCTATATATTCATTAGTTGTGGGTGGAGGCTAGGTTAAGAGAATGAGAGAGAAAAATTTGAGAGATAATTATTTGATTGTTTGAGCAAAGCTTAATGTTTTGCATTTGAGAGATCTCTACAGAGTTTTAGTGAAACATCTCTAGGGTAGTTTGATTATCACCATTGTTGGAGAGGTTGAGTTAACCACCACATTGGTGTATTTGATTCTTTGTAACAATTATTTTCATAGTGGATTTTTGATCTGGACTAGGTCCCGTGGGTTTTTACTTCTTCATTGAAGAAGGTTTTCCCACGTTAAAAATTGCTTGTGTTCTCTCTCTCTCTTCTTCTCCTCTCTCTCCTGTTTTTCGTTTTGATTTTTCCGCTGCGCTGCCCGACCTGGTGAAGTTCAGGCCGAAGTATTGCCGAGATCCGAGATCAGGATCTTGTTGATTGACTTCCGAAAAAAGGCTACTTAGCCGAGCTTGAGGGAACCGAGTTCCCAACAGTGGTATCAGAGCCCGAGTTCGACGGGTTCTGAGGGAGACGAGATGGAGACCAGTGGCATAACCAATGATGGAGACAGACATGTTCAAGCTGACCGCAAACAATTTCACCTATTGGAGACCGATGATGGAAGATCATCTCTACTGCAAATACCTATATGAGCCCATTATCCTTGATGAGAGACCGGCGGGCAAAACCGATAAGGAGTGGGAGATTCAGAGTCATAAGGCGGTAGCTACAATCAGAAAATATATTGACAAAAGCCTTTTTGAGCACGTGTCCGAGTTCACGAACGCGTACGAGTTGTGAACGAAATTAGAGTCCATGATTCAGAAGAAGACTCCCAGGAACAAAGCACACCTGGTTCGCCGACTTGTGAAGTTGGAATACAAGGACGGCATGAGTATGATTGAACACCTCAACACCTACAAAGGTATTGTGAATCAGCTGTCAAAGGCTGATATGAAAATTGATGACGAGATGCAGGCTTTGCTGTTGTTGAGCTCGCTGCCAGAAAGCTGGGATACTCTGGTGGTGACCTTGAACACCTCACTTTGGAGGTTTTGATAGAATCCATGGAGGTTTTGGCTATGGGACGAGAAACGAGACTGGAGAAGATATCTTGAATGTTGCACTAGCCTACGATTTGATGTTAGTGAACACCTTTTTTCAAAAAAGGGAGTCACACCTAATCACTTTTCATAGTGGCCATAATCGTAGTCAGATTGATTTCTTTCTGGCTAGAAGAGAAGATAGAACTTCTTGTGTCGAATGTAAGGTCTACCCTGGAGAGTGTGTCGCTACGCAACATAAGCTGGTAGTCTTGGATGTTCGGTTCAACAAAGTGCGTACGATGAAGAAGAGGGCTCAGAATCCAAGGATAAGGTGGTGGAAGCTTAAGGAGGGAAAAGAGAGAGAGTTCAATTATAGAATGTTGCACGAAGGACCTTGGGAGTTTGAAGGAGGAGTAAATGCAACATGGAATGAGATGGCTAAGTGTATTCAAAATTTGGGAAGGAGGGTGTTGG